GCTAGTTCAAAGGGGTAGTTGAGTAACTCTTCGGAGAATGGAATCGACGAATGTGAGCGTGGATTCAACTCAAAATGTGTATAATGCTTTTCTAAAAGTGGAATTTCGACTACTCCACATTCAGAAGGGTTTTCTAACTACATGAAGGCCTATAGACTTGTAATATAGCGAACTATGCATTTTTAGGAGAAACACTTTAGGTAGACTGTTTATGGTGATAATTTGTTAAATCTCTCGCAGGAGTCATCATAAATTCTCGAAGATCACTCTTAAACTTATCATATTGACGCGATGCAAAACTCGAGGGCTCCACTGTAACTCGGTAAAGCCGTTCTCTGCACCCTTTCAAACACCTTTGCACACTGTTGCATATTGCCCCTCCACACGTCAGAAGGTTGGTCTTGTCCCAGAAAGAAAAGGACAAAAAAGAAAACAATCCACTCCACCCACTCTTCGAACAACAGCCAGTGGGCAAGCGGCTCAAATCCAGACACAGCTTTCTGCACTCTGTAGAGCCTCTTAATACTAGCCCTCACAACCAAAGGATGACTTTGTGGTCTAACCACCTTCAGACCACTCCACATAAACTCTCCCTCAGCCCGAAGGAATCCCTCGCAACCGGCTCCAGTGAGACTTGGCCTACCTGGCTTAGCCTCAACCGCCTAAGAACTGGCTACGGTCGATGCAGAGTCCTAATGCAGAGGTGGGGTCTAGGAGACGAACAAACGGCATGTGAATGCGGCCAGGAACAGACAATGGAACACCTGCTAGTCTGCCCACTCCTGCCAGAGCCATGCACCCAAGATGACCTGGAAGCCGTGAATTGCCGTGCCAAAGCCTGTGTGGACCACTGGACGGGACTTGTGTAGTGACTCGATAAGAAGAAGACTGTTGCATATGCAGAAAATATTCCTAGATATGGTTTGAATACACATGCCCTGGGCCCCGTTGCATAAAACCTCCCATTGGTGATAACTTTACCATCAATGGTAACTCCCATGGAAACTTTGATTTTGATTGGCTGTTGAGCCCTGTTACTATAGTAGTTGCCATTGGTGGCAAAGTTACCATCAATAGGGACTTTTAGATTTGCACAACGACAACGTGGATTGCTACGATCGACGTCCCTTTAATGCACTGTTTTGAATGGACGTCACACGTATCAGTTAATAGGGACTTTTAGATTTGCACGTCAACAGCTTTGACTGCATCGTGTGACGTCATTTTAAGGCACTGCGCATGCGTTACGTCGTCTCAGTCGGCGATCGAGAATGCGTCAACCTTGATTTTCCTAAATCTAGTATTTATATAGCGCCTTTACATGCTCAAGGTACTAGTATGCCGCGTGCGCAAAAAATATACAGTTCCTCGGGTAGACAAAGGAACATCCTTTCCCTGTTATTATGTACAAATGTGTATTCACCTGTTCTACACATTTTTACATAATAGCAGTGAAGGAATATTCCTTTGTTGAGGGTAGAATGAGGAACTGTATATTTTGTCCTCTTTCTTTGTCCGTGATGTTCATAGTGTTACTTCCTGCATGCATGTATATCGTCGAGTGCAATCTAAAAGATTTTTAATTGTAGTCAACATGGGCAGTTAAGTACGTTGACACGCATGATCAGTCGGCGTTCGTCGTGTTCTCGTCCACTCAATCTAAAAGTCCCTAATGGTAAGTTGTATGCAACGGGGCACTGGTTTCAAATGCTCTGTAGTCACGGATAAATACACCCTGACTACAATAATTATTATTATCTTCAGCCCTGAACCAAACACTGTACCTTACCCTATCCCTAAACCCGATCCTACACTTAATAAGTGTAATAATAATAATAATAATAATATTGGATTCTATAGCGCACGTATCGACCTTGCAAGGTCCTCAAGGCGCTCCAACATTACCCGGCTATGCTAGGCTGCCGATTTCGACGCTCACGGCATTTAAAGGAATTCCTTCCTACCGGTACCGATTTAACACCTATGTGGAGAGTGGCAAATGTAGATCAATGTCTTGCCAAGGACATTAGTGCCGCGGCGGGACTCGAACCTCTAAACATCTAACCCATATACCTGAACATTCCCCTGTACCTTAATCTAACAGTAGAGTGCATGAATAACAGAATAGAGCCTGGAGCAACCGGCCATTTTCGTAATGTAACCAAATTTAATGCACAAGTCTTTGTGAAGTGCCTCAATACAAATTATTTCATTCACCTGATAAGAATAATAGTATTTCAATACACAGACTTCGAACTGCATACTTTAGTTGTCACCAGGTAGGACAAACAGTATGTATTGACCTACCTAGCAACACTTAATATATGCAGTTTGCATTCTGACTTTTGAAATACTGTTATTCTTATCAGGTGATTGAAATTGAGGCACTTCACAAAGACTTTGCATTAAATTTGGTAACATTACGAAAATGGCCTATTGTTGAGGGGCAAATGTCGGATCCCCGTTTAAACCTATACAAACATTTGAATGATGTTGCATTACAAATGAACATGATATTAACAGCATTCTTTTCCTTTCTTCGTATATGCTTCTTGTTGTTATTATGTATTTGTAGTATATTGTTATAAGGTATAACCGACACAAGCTAACATGTTTCTAGGAAGTACACCATCTTCCCCCTTGTTAAAGCTGATGCTCCGTTAAATTGCTTTACTATTTAAATATTTTATTATTTAAATGTTATAACTGAATAATTACAACATGTATCATTTTACGATTATTTGATATTAGTTGTTTAGTTAATTAAAATCAGTAATTAGTATGAAAATTGCTAAAAGTATTGATTTTGTTATATTATGTTATATATTTATAACTTGATATTAGTTGTTTAGTTAATTTAAATCAGTATGAAAATTGCTAAAAGTATCGCTTTCATTAATATATTCGTGTATGTTTTTATAATTTGTACACTGAATTGTATAAGTCTCCGGACTTTTTATTCAGCATGTTTTTTAATTACAATAAACCAGAATTGAATTGAATTGCTTATATCATGATGTATGTATGAATAAATTGCTTGAGTATTTTGTTGTTTATATGGAAAGAGAATTGAAAGAAAAAATATGTATTACTTTGAATTGAATTGTCGCGAATGGTATTGAACTAGATAAGTCTCCGGACTGTTATCCACAAGGCACGGGGTTCAAATCACTGCCACAGCACTAACGTCCTTTGGCAACACATGAATCTATATTCCCCACAAATTTCGACCCAGGTATAAGTGAATAACAGGTAGGATTTATAATTCCTTGAATGCACTGAACGCTACAGTTGCCGGAGCTATAAAAAGCGGGGGTAATGATATGCCCTTTGGAAACGCATATAGACAGTACAATCATAATGTAATATGTGCTATACAAGTATGGAGTATTGTTATTATAATTATCATTATGATTATGATTATACTTACTTAGGTGTTCCATCTCGGTTTCCGATTGTACTAAAGTCGATTTTAGTTCCATACTGATCGTTAAACGTACATGTGCAAGTTCCCGTCTTTATACACTCACCCTGCGATTCGCAGCCCATAAGAAACATGCATACAAACAGCACTATGCAGGCCTGAAATCTTGGGAACGCCATTTTGAGCAGTTCCTTAAAGTCTTAAACGGACTTTGAACGATTTAAATTACTAAGGCTGTGTGATGTTGATTTTATGATAAGATATAGCTACGGAACGACTACGATACAACACTACCGAATGTATAGCCCTGTTAAATTAGAATAAGATTCATGATTATGTTGACCTCTCATTAAAACATTGTTGTTGTTGTTGTTGTTAATGATTATATCAATATTTGAATAAGTTTGTAGCTGTTGTAAGTCATCTACTTACTTTTATTTTAAAAATCTGTCACAGTGGCAGAGCCAGGGGGAAAAAAATAAAATAAAAGGATAATAGTAGGTTAATGACATTTTAATGTTTTAGTTTTTGTGTGTGTGCGTTTTTGTTCGTATGTTTGTTTTTTTGTTGTTTTTGTTTTCTTGTCACGGAATTTTCGGACTTGTACCCCCTTGTGGAAAAAGAATACTGGACCCGTGTTTAATATAAGATTTACCTAACGCTATTAATTTTATGTAGTCGATATGATAGCTTTCATATTGGGGGTAGATTATTTATATTTTATGTTTTTGAATTTAGAATAAATATTTGTTAATGATATAGATATGTTTTTTGAAATTCTTGTAAAAGATACCGCCCATTTCGCCTGCTTGATTAAATATACATGTATAAATAAAAACTAAAAACAAACGAAAAAGGGACTCAGAATTCGTCCTCGAATCAGGTGATCTTCGATCTTTGATCTCGGAAATCAGAGACGCTTGTAAGAAAAGGCGGCTCCGCATGAGGACGAGGACATATAACCACGAGCTGTTTAAATGTTCTTGAGAGATAACAATATAATGATCACATGGGGTACCGTATAGGTCATGTGACTATGAATGGTATGATAGCTTCGTAGCCACAAATGAGCCTACAAACAGGTTTCTATTATGACTCTAAGACTTTGTTCAGGAGTCTTCAGTATACATTTCCGATTTCTTTGTCGTTTGAGTTCTCAATCTGTTCATCATGATCTGTTTCTTCTTTTCTCAAATCTGTCATAAACTTGAATCTTTTGTAAAATATTTGTCAGATCGAATTCTCTATCGTTCCGTTGTTTACCTGTGAATTATTCTGTTAGGTACTTGAAAAAGAGAAGATTTTGTGGAAGATAAAATAAGCAGTGAACTTTTAACATTTGCACTTTGAAGTTTTGCCGTGATGGAACAGGGTGCACCTGCCAATAATTGTTATTGGGGGTGCACCCCCCCCCAATAAAAATACAGCATACCTCAAGTGCACATAAACAGTCACACACACACACAAACACACACATACACATTGAATTATGAGAAAAGTTTAAATTGTAATAAAAATGAATTTCAGAGAGCTGACAGAGAATATTTTTATTTATACGTGAAATAGATTTAAAATGTTCATTTTTATTTGTGAAATTAAAATTGAAGTCCCAACGTATTTATAGTATCCAATGCATTTCTTTTGCATTTTATTAAAGATATGTTGCTCTTTCGACAGCTACTTTTTGAAATATCTCCCCTTTCACCATTTGCGGTAATTGCGAAGCAGCACTATACACTTCAATACCAAACATTACTGAGACAATATTGGCGAATAGAAGAAATTCCTACAAAGAAAAATAGATTTGAACCTATCAAACATGAGGCATTGTGCAAGGTAGTTCCAGTCTTAGTGAAATATTTTGTTTCCTCTATTTCCGATGTACAAGTTTCGTTGCATTCCATTCCCATACACATTTGTGTATATAGGCCTACCTGAAAATGCTATCAATTAATCACAAAATTTCCTTATCTTCTAAATGTTGTTTTCTTGTTTCTGTTGCTAAAACTCTAACTCGCTAACAGATCGTAGGAATTGTGAATTTCGTATAGCACTGTCTATTGTATTCAACCCTTAAGGAAGAGTTTCAAAACTATTCTCAATGGACAGAAAAGTATATTAGATCTACTACGAAACCATAATGCTAGACATATAGAAACACTTCATCCTGTTATTATTGCACATTATTATTGGCTTTGGTTCGATGTATCTAATCGTAAAGTTAGAATTATTGGCAAGCAAGAAACGAATCAAAGTCAACTTGGAGATTGCGCCTCTCTTGCTGGACTTCGGTGAGGTGGTTCATCAGTTCTTGCTTTTGGTCGTTCGCTTTTTGAAGCTGTGAAGACAAAAAATGATCAAGGATAAGAAAGAAAAGAAAAAAATCAGACTGGTAAAGACTAAAAAGATCAATATTTACGATGCAATGTTAGCATTTCTCGTACAATTTATATATCCTTCCTTAATCTCACTTGTAATAAATGAGTGTTTGGACAAAAAGCAACATTTTATCGTTATAAATAGAACTATTATATTGTTTTCATAGTTATAGTTATCAGTATTATTATTTTCATCATTGTCATTACTATAATCATTATTATTAGGCCTATTTATTTTTCATTTTGTTCTTATAGTAAAAGTAGAAGTAGTAGTAGTAGTAGTTGAATTAGTAGTAGTAGAAGTAGAATTATTGTAGTAGTGGTTGTGGTAGTAGTGGAATGGTGGATATATATAGTTCATGCCTAAATATTTTCATTTTTGTTATCATTATTTTTCTAGAATCATTGTCATCATGATGATAACATGTAACATTGCCTACCAGATCAGAAAGTTGTTCAATCTGACCGTCCTGTATTTTTCTCTGTTCTGATAAGGTCTCGATGTCGGCCTGTAATTCGTTGACCCTAATCTGATCGCGGTCCCGACACCCACATGTTTGCTCTACGGAAGAATGATGACCACGGCGATCCTGAAGAGACAATTAAATGTCAAAAATGAATACAGAGAGAGTGATAGCCAGGAGACCAAGGACATTCACTCATATTCAGCCAAACCTGCCATTGTGGCCACTTCTCTATAAAGGCCACCTATCTATACAGCGGCAGTGTATTTACCCCCCCCCCCCTTCCTATCGAGAAAGAAATGTTGTAGAACATGTCTAGAAAGTCAACCTGTCTACAGCAGCCGCTTTCTCTGTTTCCCTTGGGTTGCCTCAGTAGAAAGGTTAGACTGGACTATCAATAGATGATAAATGAATCTATATGATGGCAAATAAGAATAACAGAACAACGTTCCACCAATTTCAATCAAGGAACGGTGTGGATGAACATTAGCACAACATTTATACAGATAACAAGGTCACGTGATACAAACTATTCGAATACAGAAGAAGAGTAGCAAAAATTGACGATGATAAAAATAACGTTTAACATAGTTTTCCAAAGCTAATTTTGAATTATGGTAACGACGTTGCGTTGAGAGAAAAGGTTAGCTGACAAATTAATCGTTTGAATAATTTGATAATTATGTTGAATATGAGCAAATACAAAATATCTACAAACTGACTAAAACTTGAGACGGTGCGTGAACATGTCTTACCAATTTAGAGGTATCTCCTTTGTTGCCTTTAAAAGAATTACTATTCAACTTCCCGACCTATATAAACATAGAGGAATACATTTTTTAATAAAATAATCATGGTACTAGAAGTTTACATTCAAATACTAAGTATCCATTACAGGGAAAACTCAAGGTGCCGACAAAAGTATGAAGCATTTATTAACAACAACAATAATGATAATGATAATGATAACGATAATAATAATGATAGTGACAATGATAATGATAATGATAATGATAATGATAATGACAATGATAATGATAGTGACAATGATAATGATAATGATAATGATAATGACAATGATAATGATAATGATAATGATAACGATAATGATAATGATAGTGACAATGATAATGATAATGATAATGATAATGATAATGATAACAACGATAAGCGCTTTGGGCCGCTCTGGGAAAAGCGCAGTATATAACTAATAATAATAATAATAATAATAATAATAATAATAATAATAATAATAATAATAATAATAATAATAATAATAATAATAATAAATAAAATAGTGATAACAGCACAAAAATGATGATAATAATAATAATAATAATTGATAATGATTATGACATAATCTAAATGATAAAAAATTATAACAATGATGGCATAATCTTAATGATAATAATGTCTTATGTAACATATTGCATTCATTGTAGTCCTTACGTATCTTGAAGTTTTAGTCTACTCCTAAGCTGACCAGTTGATAACATAAAATGAGAATAAAGATGACAAATAATCAATGTAATATGAAGTATATACCTTGTGTGTGATGTTATCCATGTGGTTGAGAAGAGTAATCCGTCCCCGCCTCACCTCCATCACAGTCTCCATCCATCCTTCCACCTCACCTTCCAACCTCTTCTTCACTGCCTCAAGGTCAACCACCTTCTTCTTCCAGTTATCGAGCTCAGACTAGTAGAGAAACATAGGATTGATTTATTGATCAGATGATGATTTTATAGTAACTGTGAGACTCCAAAGTCTGTTATTCATACAATAATGCCTCGGATCGGACGGATTAATTGTACATTGTCAGATTGTTGAACTTAGTAATACTACTTTTATCTTCGACTGAAGTGCATTTAAACATTTTTTTTCAAAAAATATTCCTGCAACTCATCATCTACCTTCTGAATGGAATTTCTTTCTAGAACATCAAAAAAGACAAAAGAAACTAATAAACCCTAAACTACAGTATGTCACTAAGCAATGCAACAATAACTTGTTACTTCTGCATAGTGTATTTGTAAATAAATTAAATGTTTTGTACCGGAAGATGATCAGATGATGATGACCTGACCATTTCTTCTGAGTAGCGTTATTAATTTGTTTTTTTCATTACAACAAAAAGACTCGCAAAGAGGGTAAATTTACCCCCATCCCCTTCACAAATGCAGAACAATTGGCCGTCGTATTATATCAATACACAAGAGGCAGAATGATTGCCGAACCTTTAATTGAGACTTCACTGCCTCGTCATCGTCTCTCCTGTCTTCCATCTCCTTCAGCTGCCTCTGTAGCGAGCCAAACTGGTCATCGAGAGCCAATACGTTATGATGAGGGCGTCCTGTATCACTGCACGATCCCGAAAGCTGGCGATGGGCAGCGTCCAGCTGTAACGAGATCTCGCTCTTGGCTTCAGTCAACTCCCGCTCGTTATCCTCAAGGGCCTGTCAGTATGGGCGTGGTCAAATAATATTGTTGTTATTTGATTGAAGAAAAAAATGCAATGACAATGACAATTCGTTTCCTTAAAGCGCGAATCAAGTTATATGAATGCAACGTCCTGTGCACTTCCAAAGGTTCGGATATCATAACACTACGACGTAAATGTTGTGACAGCGTTTCGAACCCCATGCCTTGTGGTTTACAGTCCGGGGACTTATCTACTAGACACACATAAACAGCTCTACTTTAAGTCATGTTCCATTTGGTATGTACAACTAAGAACGTAAATCGTAAATCATTTTTTTTTGTGATTGAAAGCTGAATGTTTGTGATTTTGGTTTCATCTTTCACGCAGAATAGTGTGATCTTAAACAACGACTGGAATAGCAAAGGGCAATGCCATACATCTCCAGAACTCTTTACGAGTTCATTCTCACCTTCACTTGACCTTCCAAGCACCATTTGTCTACCAGTAGATTGGATACCGTTTTGATAAGGTCTTTTTGCTTCTCAAGATTCTCTTCGGGGCACAGAACTTGGGTCACGTTGACACCTTTGGCAGTCAATGTAGAAGCACTGTCTTGAACTAGTGGTTCACTCTGTCTAGGTCGGATGTTCGCTTCTGCTGGAGATATTTCTTTGAGAAGTTCACCTTGGAAATTCTGTTGGCTCCCTGAAAGCTCCGGATGCTGCCTCACACCAGGTCCGACGATGCCACCTACTTCGGCTTTAGAATCAATGTCATCCGGTAGGACTTGACAGGCACCATCAATCATCTCTGTCTCGTTAACTTGGTTGGTCTCCGATTCTTGAGTTGATTTCGACCCATCATTCTCTGCCGAAACTAAGGCTATCTTCTTCTCGACACGATGCTCTGCTTGCAAAGAGGTCAGCTTCTGCATCTTTGCATCATAGCAGCAAGATCTGCAGTGCTTCCCACCCCTCCCCAGGTTCCTACAGTCCTTCCTTCCGAGATCCGTTCTACTGGACATCCTTCTCGCAGAACGTGGTCTTGTCTCCAGAAAAGCTTTGCTCACCTTCTGTCGCCTCAGAACTCGACGACGCGGGACGTTGTTAAGATGTGGCACTTGATTTTGTGTAGTATACTTTGCCGCCTCGAGGGTAGGTGTTAGAGAATCAGAATGTTGTGTTTTTCGGTTCTAAAAGAAATTATAATGACAAAAAACACGAGATACCAGGTGGTAAATGATGGTAAAAGATAACCCAAAGAGAACCTTTGACTAAGGCATCTTTATTTATAGTGATCACATTACTGGTTCCCAATATCTAGGAATAATAATAAGATTCACATCATTGGCCTCTGCCAGGTTCCTCTCAGCGCTTGAACACGACGAACATGATGAAATAGATTCGTTATTAGCATTGTATATAAGTGTATGCAACTACCACAAAGACTTACCAAACATAGTCACATATTTCTTCTTGTGATTCTGATTAATAGACCAATACGTTCCTACTAACATAATTTGAAATGCACTATTACCACTCATCACAACCGTCAACTTACCTTCATGAATTCTTCGAACGATTCGTCGCTGCCCAGAAACCTCCCAAATTCCTTCAACCTCGAGACAATCCTCTCAACTTCCTCCACCGACGCCGAACTATCCACTTCCTGCAGGTACATCCTTATCGTCTCTCTGACATTTAAAGGTGAAGTGGCCAGCTCTAGATCGTTCGGCAGAGACAGAAGGTTCTTGTAAATGACCTCAATCTTGACCTTAGCCAGCTGTCTCACACGTTCCAGGGCTTGATGGGTGCGGTCTCTTTCGTGGATGATCTCATGAATTCTGCAATTAATTTAAGAAGGTAACATTATTCAAGTTATCCCTTTGTAATGAATACAAGATAATGCATGACCCTGACGTATAGATAGGTTTAAGTAAAATCTGTCCATGAACATCCCGGCCGTTTAGCAAAACGTTTGTCGCATCTGTTTTGCCTGGTCTGTTGTATTTCTCTCTACTTCCCGACCTTTGTTTGTGTATTTCATTCGTCTATGTCTATAGCACACGAGGCGTTATTTTTTCTAAGGTAGGTCTGCTCCAGTGACTGGAGAGGTCTTTGACGCACCGTGTGGGAGTGAATGCAAAATAAACAAAGCAAACATTGCTTCCGTTTAGTGGGTCATTAGCCAATTGCATATTCGGATTTCATTAGATCAGGTAAAAACGCCTCGTGGACAAGGGGCAAGACCTCCCCAACATGAATCTAACATATTACGTCACATGCCTGAAGCCAATCTATCCCACAGTTAATGTAGTTTCACCTTTTATCCTTGTTTTTGACGTTCGCTCGTAAAGCAGCAATAACCGTTCCTTGGCGTTTGACGCGGCGGTTGGCTTGGGCGATAGTTCGCTTGGCAAGGAGCAACTTGTAAGTCATTTGCGGGCTTTGCCGTGTCTCCTCCGTTGAACCCCTGACGTTAGAACCCGGATGATCCAATACCTCCTCCTGGAGTGAGAATAAAGGCAAAGTTTGTTTCAAAGTTCTGTTAGATGTCTTTTGGATGTGTTTGTCGGTAGATTTGCCGTCAGAAAAAGATTCCGCAAAACAAATAATCCAAGGAATAATATGAATTTCCTAACAAGATTCTGATTTGGGCTTTCTGAGACGTTCTCTAGCAATGTCACTAACAAGTATTCATAATTCTTTATAATTTACAAAATGCTACATAATTCCATTTACGTGATATGCTTAAACAACTCTATAGTCTTTGATCTTGGCTAGAGCCGGCCAAAGAGAAGTTACTACTACAACTGCCTTATTCCATTTCGTCCTGAAATTCCCGTCCACATGCTCATGATGGTTGCATAAATTAATAAGATCAGACACATTTTGTGTATTCCTAATTATTTCCCAGCTAAAGAGGCATTCTAGGTACTCATTTGAGTATGCCAAGTATATTTCATTTACGACACGGGTACAACATGGTTACAACTTAATTACCGGCATCCCCACGCTGTTATGCTCGCGTCTTCCCACCAACCGGCGGGCGTCGACTGCGGCCTGCATTCGATTCATTGATAGAGTTACAGTGATCGGCAAAGGCATATTTGAAGGATGTTCCGCCCCTTTGTCCTGGGGCTGGTATTCGCTTCTACTTCTCTCGGCTTCACAATCTTCAAGCTGGATTATATTATAGAAATTCATGTAATTTGTTACGGTTTATACATTTCAATATTATGAACTGAGCAAGCATGCTCACTTGAGTATAAAATAAGCCTTCGAAACATTACGATGATGATTTTCTTTCTTTGACGGCACATACGGATAATCATCTAAAAATGTCTCCTGACAAGAGGAATTGGTGTCGCATTTAACTTTTTAATCATAAAATCTCTTTAATTTCAGCATTAAGTTTGATCGTAGCCTACATAACACATATTGTCAGCAGATGGATACTAGTAATCTAAAAAGAAAAGGGCGCAACTTATACAATTTTTAAGGGAGACGCTTTAATCGTTACAGATCTCGAACGTTTTCTTCAATCTTGAAAAATGTATATTTCTTGTTCTGGCATATTATGATGATATTTACCTATAAATAGTTTCAATTCATAATCTCACCTTGTTTCTTAAGGTTTCAATCGTCAGTTTCAACTTTCGAATCTGGTCATAGAGCTCCGCTTGTTTTACGGCCATTTTAATGACGTCATGCTGTTTCACATCAAGTACTTGTTGTTGGGCGTTTCCCTGAAGTTTCGCTAATTCCAAGATTCCATTTAGCTTGGTCGTCTGGCGCTGGTTTGAAACCAGTCGTCTCTCCGCCATGCCTACGAATACATTGCAATAAGGACAATATTCGTGTTTTTTTCTTATTGTCAATGAGGAAAAACATACATCTGTCAAATGATTTTTATAAAAATAGGCCCTTTGTTGTTTATGTATAATCCTTATTCTGGCTTGACTGCAATCTGAATATTTGATATTCCATTAATTCCAATTGAGCATCGTCCTCTGTGACTTTATGTGAATTATGGGCAATATCAATAAATATTGTTTTTAAATATATTTAAAATAAAATCGATGAATTGTGTTGCCCTATTTGAAATTAAAACACCCCCTCCACTCCCCTGACTGAATGGATCCCCAAAAGAAGAAAATGAGGAGACAGAGCATGGAAAGAGAGAGAGAGAGAGAGAAAGAGAGAAAAAAGGGCGGGGCATCGAGAGGCGGAAAGGTATACGACCAACCGCTATCTCCTCCACTTTTAAATAACTGGAGGTCCCCTTTGCCCAAACTCGCCGATATAAAATGCAAGGGATATTAAACCTACGCCAGAACTTGTACAGCATCTAATGAGAAGCACACTTACGTAGTTTCCTCTGCAGTTCCTTAATATATGTCTCTTGTATTATGGCATCTGCCAGCAGTTGCTCGTCGATCGTGTTCAGACGGTCGATTTGAAGCTCTAAATGTCTGATCTTTCTCCTAAACTCCCGCTCAGCTTTCATGATCTGAAATGTGCTCCTGAGAAAAAAATGAACAATAACTATTTTCAGATATGCCAGGTATACAACAGGAGTGCGCTAAACCAGTTGTACTGTAGAATTACCGAACATTGTTAAACACGCCCGCAAAATAATTTGTGTTTTGTCGACAAGAGTTACAGAAATATGCCTAAATTATTCGATAGAAAGTTGTGAGAATGTCGCACCCCATCCCCGTCCTCTAGATCCTACGAAACAGTTAAATTATCTAGAGGATAACTTGTGTGTTTGTTTGTATGAATGAGTAAGTGAGTCTTTGCTTCTTTTGGATGAATGATTGTTTTTGTTGGTCACCGTGAAGCTACTGACTTGCATCTAGCTACAATAACAATTATTTTGTAACTGCCCTACTTTTGAGTATTAAGCTTGCCGTACTCACCTGTCTGGTCTCACGATTACTCCTGTACCTTCCTTTTCATCCTAAAGAAAATGAACATACTTAAATTAGTCAATTAAGGTTGAAAATAATTATAATTTTTCCGTTGGCCTTAACTATTCAGTGTCAGTAATAATGTTTTTCATTTTTTAGTTTTACTTATAATTGGTGCCCCTGAAATTACTGAACAATTATGTTTGAAATGACCCCCCCCCCCCCCCCCCACCCCGAAATCACCTACCCAAAGTAGTCTGCAAGTACAAACCCTGGTCAGTCGTAAAAGAGAGTCTGCACTACAAGACTATCATAGGCCATGTACTATAGCTGCTCCTGACACAGGACACAACCAGTAGGTAGCTGGGCTAGGCTTCTCTCGAGACACAATTATTTGTTTGATAAAGTGTCAAATTAGGGTCTGTGCTTGCAGACTTCACCCAAAGCACATCTGAATTAGACTTATTTCTTAGTAACAAATCAAAAGTTGTAGTTTTTATTTTTAACAAAACTGTTTGTGTTATGTTTGTTCCTTATTCTCATTCCTTCATTTTATTTGCACTCCGTATAGTGAAAATACAAATGAACTACCTGATCCTCTAACTCTACCCCTCGCTCTCGGCCAGCGGATCTCGTTAGGGAGAACGCCTTCAGCCGACACCACACGCCATGCTGCTTAGTATCCTCGATCTCGGCACGATCGAACGTGCTGCGGTTTTTTCCTCCTCCGCTCAACAAGTACGACTCGTCAGCCGCGCTCTGATTGGCTGAAAGTTCGCTACTGTCACCAAGCAGTCCGTCGTTTCTCGCATCTCGCGGTGCTTCGGCCACAGAACATGTGACGTTGTTGCTTGTATGTGATTGGTCCATTGTTTCAGGTGTTCAATATATTTCTGGTCTCCCCGTGAACAGTGGATTAGCTCTGATGCATTGTCAAGATAAAAAAAAGATTTCGATCTTTTATTTGAGGGTTTTAAACGCGTTTTTTGAAGTGTCATGTTGTCTTTTTATAAGAGTTTGATTTGTTTTCCTTCTCATCATGACTCAACTTTTTTTTGGTACGAATATGATATATAATCTACGGCTTATATTATGTCTATACATGTATCTATGTTTTAATTTGTCTTAACTTTGTTTACATGTATTTCAAGAGTTCTCGAGAAAAAGAAGAACAAACACCTATTGAAATACGGGTTCGCCCCTACATATAGCTTTTTTTTCTCAGGTGAATATAATAATACAAACTTTGTTCATGATGTTTTTTTTTTTTTTTTAATTATTTTATTTGGCAAATCAAGTCACATAATACAACAATATAACAAACATGAATTGAGATTAAAAAATCAATAGAAAGCATATATAAATATTGCAATAGCAGGTGCATCCGGTCGAGCTGCCCGGGTATGGAAAAAGTTAACCAAATAACTGTGATCCGCAGACCTTCCTCCCCACACCCGACTAGATGCACCTGATATTGGTTAAAATAAAGCTTTAAAAAGAAAAGATAGATTAGAAGAAAAATGGAGGAAAAAGAAAAAGGGAGAAAAACGAAGGAAAAAGAAAAAGAAAAAAAGAAAAGAAGGAGAAAAAAAAAAAAAAAAAAAAAAAAAAAAAAAAAAATTGCATGACAATTTTTTTTAAAATTGTGAATTCATGACAGGTATAGTAACATATTGTTACTGTTAATCATTAACACCATCATCACGTTGTAAAAAAAAAATATATAATATCATTATCATTATCGTTATTAACATTATTACTACTACCGTTACTATCATTATTATTATGATTATTATAATTTATATCATTGACATCAATATTTATATTAAAACATCAACAAAAAATTAATTTTCATTGAGAATACAATTTCAACAACAACCAGTCTCGAAGCTATTGCACGATCATAATATGTACAGATGAAGGTAAGCCCTATATCATGTTTATGAAAATATTAAAATTCAGTAATACAATTTTGGAATGGTTTGGAATGGTTAAAATGGACTGTGTATTATTTCAAGTACATATCATTATTGTTTCATATTATATAATGAGAAATGGAACAAAAATTATACGGTATACATCTCAGGTGGTTATTATGTGAAGTCTTATTTATATAATTGAAGAATTATTTATATTCTATAAATGACTATAAACAGCAGCAATTAAACAACTAGCAATAAGAAAGCATAAACAGCATTAAAAGATCACACTGTTACAAATATGTATAAGCATATTCGTCATTATTATCAACATCATTTATATTATTGTTATTGCAATCATTATTATTGCTACGATTATAACATAATAGTTACAATCATTATTAATATTATTAAGAAATATAATGTATAATACAACATGAATAAATACGGAATCATATATACAGATTTACAAGCCAGAGTTCAACACCTTCAAGTGGGAGCACCAAGTGCCAATTTGAGTCAATAGTACATCGTTACGAATATGTTGAGGAAGTGTGTCCCACAATCTGGGTTTGAGATATAGTATTGAGAAATAGCATTGTGATTTCTGATCTATACAACCATCATGTCATGCAAATAATATATAATATGACTTGCAACTCTATGGATACAAGGGATGCGATCCCAATCGCCATTAAATCAAAATGAAGAACAACAAGAAAAGATTTTTTAAATAAACAAAAAATAAACTCACCTCAGTTCTGGTTACTTTACATTTAGGCTGATTATATAGTTGTGATTATTTGAGAGGAGCTGTTGAAAGAAGTTCCATCTCCCATAAAATATTTAATTTTCAAGTTCTTATTCTGTGCAGATTTTCAAGGGGCATCATCAATACATCATACTTTATTCGTGTTATTAAGCTGAGTGCAATATTGTAAACAATCAAACAGTATTGTCGCATGGATGCAAGCGCGCATTAATAAAGCATCAATTGTGACGCAACAATTGAATATTGTAATGTTGAAAGTGCGTTGACCTTGCAATGAGAAGTGATTTGTTGCTCTAAAGTTAGTCTTGGATCAAGACTCGAGTGCATCATAAATATTACATAAATCTGTTTGAGCAGCTCCCACTACACGTGAGTGTTATTCGTTTAACTGTTTAGTCCACTGCAGCAGATTCATCTCTATTTCATTTTAAAAAACAATAAGGTTTTAATCATGTTTCAAATGCACTGTTTAATACCCTCGATAATTTCCTACAATTATGAAAAAACACAGGTAGGTCTAGATTGGGAAAATTGTAAAGCCAAGTCGTTATTGTAGTCCCACGCGTTGAAAATTGAGTGGCCGCGGCCGATATACACCGCGTGTATAAATTACGTCGAGATGAATGATGGTAGATGTTTTTGATTTCCAAGTATTTTTCCAACATCAGTGAGTGTACTGTAGACTCAGATTGTGTTGTACTTATATATCTAGTCTAGACTAGGTGTCATTTAAACTTCCGATTTTGAAGAATTCCTGTGAGTTTTTTGCAGTGAAAAATGATGAAACTACTAGTTTTGAATTTGAGAAGAATAGAGCCTTGGCCTCGCTAAAGCAAAGCCATAGAGTCAATGCTAATGCGTATTGACCTCTAGCACTGCATACTTGCTGAGAGGCAGGTGTAATTAATACACAAATACACACACCACACACTATTGCATAGACTGCACACAATAGAACCGAAGTGGCTGATCTGCAAATTTGACACCATGGACGGTAGCGCGCCCAGTATTTGGTCAGACATCCATTTCAATGGCTGTAACAATTTAAAAAGTTATTTATGAGCCACAAAACTTGCAAAAATCAGGCAGCTGAACAACTTTTCTTAACTCTCAAAATTAAATCAGATTTAGAAAGATTGGAAAGATCTCCAACTTAGCTCGAAATTGGTCAGTGTCGCACAACTTTCTGCCCTTTCGCGTTCTGTTAGCAGTTAGCACATGCGCTCACATGCATAGCCATATTATGTAGAAGCCTATTGCGAAACAACTACATGTGCTGTCGCAATGAATTTAGTATGTGTGTGAAGAGGAGGTCTTCCGTGTTCGCTCCATGGCAGCGAATTTGCAAATGACGCACTTACCGATGTGCAAGAGGTATTTATACGATACCCTTGCCATGCGGTATCGCTCGTCCAGTATTCAGTCAACGCATTGACATTCAGTGCTTTATCGCGCAATTGTGTGAAATAGTGCCCAAATACGCTTCGCTCCTTGGCAACGGAGATACCACCCACAAATCGCGTGACCGAATTCTATTCGGCACGACCAAATTCTGGGCAGAAAAATGCTCCGTCTTCTTTCGGAAGTATTTTGCTTATCATCATTCTATATTTTAAGTGACTATAAAATCCTGTTAGAGGAATAACTTTCTTTTCTTTTGATGGGTAGATTGCCAAATAAAAGAGGTAAGAATTCAAAATATTAGCAATTTCCCCTAAGTGACTGAATACTGTGCAGGTGGACCACTACCCTGGGGCTTCCCCCCTACTCTTATATGAACAGTGCAGTGGGTTTTTATCGTGCAAAGGTGGTGATTCTCCTCTAAACGGGGCCTCCATTTAACACCCTTCCCGAGGGACGTAGTGTTTTCCACTTAACATATCCTACTTCTATGGAATAAAGAGAGGGGCACGTTAACACACAAGTCACAACGCAGGCTTGGGTCATCCGCCTGTGTGGGATTCAAACCTGAGACTTTCGGTTCGACAGGCAGACACTTTATCGACTGAGCCAACTCGCTACCTATTAAATTTTTTTAATATCTAGATATTTCAAAATATTCCTTGCAAAGATTTTGAAAATTATTGTTTAACCATTGTTATTCATAGAACTAGCATGGCTGATGCTCAAGCAGAAGGTGGAGTTCCAGCTGTGGAGCCAACTGTGGAGACTGAAAACTCAAACCAGATCCAAGATCAGGTCCAGGTGCCTTCTCAAGAGGAGTTACTAGCCCATGTCAGAGCTCAACCTGGAACAGCACTGGTGAAAGCAAGGTAAGAAACACAACTGGGGGGTGTTTCACAAAGATTCTAAGTTGAACTTATCTCTATTAGTTTGACTTAACAATTATGGAAAGCCGTTGGCATCTTTGAAAATATTTTGTAAAATTTATTTTAAAAGGCATAAAATGTTGAATCAAATCATTCATATTTTCTATTATCATTGGAGATTTCATATTCTTGATGTGGAATTTATGAAAAGTCTAAAATACTTGGGGAATTTTTGCTTTCAAATATATTTTATTTTAATGCTACAAATGGCTCTCCATAATTTATAAGTCCAACTTGAGTTAAGTTCATCTTAGAATCTTTGTGAAACACCCCCCATTTCTGTTAAGGGATGGGAGCAGCTGAGGACAATTTGCTTGCTGAACCCATTAGAGAGCTCCCGTAAATGAAAATGAGCCACGGGGTTTTTGTCAGTAATGCAAGCGTGTATTGGTAGATAAGTGAAGTACCCTGCATTTTGTCAAATCACAATTCATTCTAAATAACTTGGCAAGGCTCATTCATTTCCCCAATGTGACCATTCAACCCGTGTTGATTTTCAACACACAAATATGCCGGTAGACAAAAAATATATTAGATTACTAGGCCCTGACTTTGATGTACATTTACTTGTTTTGCTCTTTGCTCCAACAAGCCTTAACACAACTCACTTCTTTTTGGTATTGCTGTTATTTTGTACCTACTGTAGGTACATTGACCTCACACGACACAGCAAAAGAAATTACCAGGATAGCACCACCAAAGCGAGCCAGGAGCAGCGCAACGAACCCGAGGGCCAGCAGCATGAAACCAAGAAGCAGAAAGGGAAAGGCCAGAATAAGAAACGTTACAGGGAAAAAACAGTTCCGTCTGAAGAGCGTCCTTGTTTGGACTTCTTGAGGGGCGCCGGTTGCAGATTCGGTGACAAGTGCAAGTTCAGCCACGATATCCAAAAGCTGATGGCGGGTAAAGCCCCAGATATCAATCCGCGATGTATCAATTTTGACAAATTTGGCAGCTGTCCTTATGGCATGCTCTGCCGCTTTGGAGGTGCCCACATAGACGATAACCTGAAGAACATCGTCGATGAGGAGAAGGTCAAGGAAACGGGAGGCAAATGCGTCGTCAGGAATCTCCTGAGCAAAGACTTGCAGATACAGTTGAGGAAGCGGAACGTCCATTTTAAGAAGTCCGATCAGTACATGAGGACTTTGGATACTAGGAAAAAGGAGTCTAACTCTAAGAGACCCGAAGGACCAGGTTGCAAAGACCATAATGAAAGTCCTACTGTTGTCATGCCGACTAGTGGTGATGCTCACAACCATGCAGGGACTGTGACGGATGCTGATGTTATCAAGCTACGGCCAGAGGAGAAGAAGAAGCTTGATGTGAAGGACAAACTCCTGCTTGCACCACTGACAACCGTAAGTGCTGCTGAATCATTAGCGCTTACGAATTTACAAGTAGTTCTCATAAATTTAGTTCTTGTGAGACAGTACTTTTATAGTACTGTTCTCATCTTGATACGGTGATTGTAACTAATTCCTCAGGCACACGAATGAGACTGACACCAGACCTCCAGCAGACCTAACAACATAAATGTACCCCTAATGGCCCAAAACAAGGCCTTTTGGAGTCAGTTTGGCAGTGCTACTGTTAGTGAGTTACAGGTCCTTCATGTCTAACATTACAATTCATCAACTCATTGTGAATTACAAATAGAACAGTAAGCATTTATTTGTCCGAAGCAGTAAATACTTTATCAAACTTTAAAGGTAATACAAAGTTTTGGGAATTTTTGAAAATTGAGTGGATAGTGAATCTTTATAATTTTGATATATCTGGATGCCCCTGTGGATGTATTATAAGCACTAAAAAAAATAGCCCCTAAAACACTTCTGTTTTCGAGAAAAATTGAATATAAAAATTTACCGGTGCTCCCGGTAAATTTTGATAAATTTCAAATAGCGCCTATGGCCGTACAATGGTAGCTGCGACCATGAAAATCTCAGAATACGTAGTTGTGATATATAATTTCCAAATGGGAATAGCTAATCGGTTGATTTTAGTCAAGAAATATTCTTTCATAGCTAAATTAATATCTTGACCTTGAGAGGGAGCTATACAACATAAGAAGTTTATTATTTACAATTTCATAACTTTAGACTCGATTTCAACGCGACAACGATCAATGAATATTGTAGGGACGCATACGCTTCCAATATGTTAATTTGAACCAAATTCATGACCCCATACCAAAACTTTGTAATACCTTTATGTGACTTGAACAACCTATGGCAGTGGAAATCTAGAAAAACTTGGTAACATTGAAGTCTTGGATAACTTTTTAATATGTACTTTGGAGACTAAACTTAAATGTTATATGTTTGCATTAATTATATCTTATATCCTTTAAAGGCTGTGTTATTGTGGTCGTCTCTCTGACAGGGAGGGGTGGATCCCAGAGTTACATATCAGAATGTTTTTTTTAATTCTGAAAGGTGCATGCCTGAACACAAAGATGATTTTTAATCTGTTGTACGTCTGTGCTTGTTGTTACAGGTTGGTAATCTTCCGTTCCGTGCCGTGTGTAAGAAGCTAGGTGCGGACATCACATGCGGCGAGATGGCCATGTGCACTAACTTACTCCAGGGACAGTCGTCTGAATGGGCGCTGCTGAGGAGACATCCTTCGGAAGACATCTTTGGTGTCCAGGTAAATTATCTTCTCACTTCCCTTCAGGACAAGATTTTTTTTTTAAGGGTGGAGTCATCAAATGTTCTTCAAATTGGCAACCTTTATATTTGTTCTGTTCTACATGTACATTGTTCTAATAAAATTTTACTTCTTTGAAAATGCTGTACATGTGAGTAAAAGCTTTGTCTAAAAGTTTGGGGGAAAAAAGGAAAATTTTGATCCACCAACAATGATTTTAAACACCTCAATGCTTTGCCAATTTAAGGATTTTAAAGCTCTTTTCCCTTTTTATGAATTCTTTCCTCTAGCTATGTGGTGGTTTTCCAGACACGATGACTAGGTGTGCAGAGCTGCTCAATGATAGATTAGATATTGATTTTATTGATATCAATGTCGGCTGCCCAATTGACCTGGTTTATCACAAGGTGCGTACTAAACCTCTTTATAGTTCATTGATTGTTATGGTTGTTTGGTGTGTGGAAGAACTTTGCTGCCTTTTATTATATTTCCAGATTATTTTATTATATTTCCTTTTTATCTATTTTCCTCCTTCAGAAAATATATACATGTATATCATGGGGGAAACCTGCTATATTTAAGTCTTGATGACTATGTAGAACGAATGAGGACATTACAGTGTGCTGTAAAAGCAATGGAATCCCAGAAATCTGGGCCCGTATTCAATAAACTTCTAAGACATTTTTCTTAAGTCTAAGAAAATGTCTAAGAATTTGTCTAGGTTAAGAAAGTTGCCTTAGCCGTATTCTAAACACGTAAAGCAGTTTGTCTTAGCCAAGACGAAAGATAAGACCCGATGACGTCATGTGGGAAAGTTGATGTGGTCGACTCGAGCAAATTAATTGCAACTCGATTTGCCTATGTAATTTGCGTGTTAAAATAAAAATCGCACCGCACGAAAATTATACACTAACATGTATGGGAGAGCGTAAAGGAGGAACGATGCTCACATAATTATTTCGGGATTGACCAACTGACACTAAAACAGTCTAGTCAAGACCACCTGAGGCTAGATCTAATTACATCCACTGTAGGCTTTTTATACTTTTCTGTCAAACAACTCCGAGGAGCCCAACCGGGCTTACTTATTATGTCGCAGCCGCAGGTCTGTGAGTATGAAGGGAGCGCCGTCGCTAGCCGGCCGACCAGCGCTAGCTAGCATTGGATTTGGAGCTACCCTTTCATTGTTTTACATCGTCTACTGTTATGATGGCCTAAAATTAATCAAATGGCTAAATGTAACCTTTATCAGACTCATACTATAACAAATTTTGTCTCACCTAATATTATGCCGATTGCACATTATTCCCTGTTTCCATACTTTAGCGCCAAAGACTAATAAAGTAAGAGACGGTTTCTTTATATACGACAGCCATGTCATGATTTAGTGTTATGCATACTTTATGCTACTACTCGTTTAGTTGTGTACAAACAAACATACTACTAGTACAGTACAAAGAGCCTATGGCGCTCCTGCGCGCTGCGCCGTCGACGCTGTATATTACGCGAAGCTTACGTTGTTATATAGGTCAACTGATAACCTGCGCTCGCGCTGCGCGCGCTGCATGCATTGTTTTTATTCCATTTGATCGAAACCCGAAGCGGTTGCTTGCAGCATCACTGAGCTGCCGGTGCCAAAGCCCCATTTAAGCATCCTCGTAGTATTCTTAAATATAGGGTAGATTTCTTACTTATCTTAGATATCTCGATTGTATTAGAATACGACATGCTACTTAAGTCCTTTTTCTTAGATAAAATCTAAGAATCCTTCTTAATCTTAAGGCAAATTTCTTAAGTCCCCATTGCTGTTATAGAATACGATTTTTGGCTAAGATTTTTTCTTAGCCAAAATTTAAGAAAAAGTACTTAGATTTCAAGCTTAAGAAGTTTATTGAATACGGGCCCTGATCCGTTGCTAATGACAGTATTTGTTTTATCGCACTTTCATAAATAATAATTATAGTAAGATCAATTTGTATAGCGCAGCTACAGTAGTATATAATTATACTCTTCTGCACTGTGATGAACACAAAACTCCTAACAGGGATAATTACAGACACAAACACAAAAACTATTCAAAAGCTTAATGATTGTTTGATTATTGACATAAATGTTAAAATATGTTAAATGTAAAATATCTTACAGTTTACAGGATTTTTTTCCTTAATTTGATACGTAATGAATTTCATGTAGTTCATAACTTGTTTTGACTATTACAGGGAGCTGGATCTGGTTTGATGAATAGAATGGGAAAGTTTCAGGAGATTGTGAGAGGAATGAGCTCGGTAAGTCATTTACATGCACACCCATTTTTGTATCGCATACATCTAACATGCAGATGGGAATATTAGTTTCTCAGATGCATCATTTGCCATACTGTTAGATTGTACATATTGCTCTCATATGCTATGACAATTTGTGTATGTTAACAGCAAGATGCATTTTTTATCATAAAGATTAATTATTGGCATTTTTTTTGTATGAAAAACATAGCTGCAAGCAACAATGCCCCAAGTGCATATTCACTGCTGTATGTTTATCAGATACAGACATTTTTTGCACAATATCTCAATTAAATTTGGAGGTGTTGATTAATTTTAAGTTTTTTAATACCTTGTGTAGGGATAGGCCTTTTAAACCCCTTCTTTATCATGAGGATTGCAAACAGTCATCCTAAATGAGCTTTCAACAGTTGAATTTGGGGTCTTAAATCTTTGTAGAAGTTGGTTGATAAATCATACTGCTCTCCCTGCAGGCCCTTCAATTATTATATTACCCCCATCATTGGGGATAATATAATAATATGATAATATGATTGTGGTAAAAGACTTTGTCCAAGGATGTAAGCACGGAGCATAGATCAAACTATGTATTTCCCATTTGAGAGTCAAGAGTTTTCAACAGTATGCCAATGCTCCCAACCTTCATACTTTTATGTCCCTGATTCTTCTGTAAAACAAAACAGTTATTTTTTTAACCAAAATGTAGAACATTCATAATTTGAGCAGGAGAGAAGGGGTTACATTGATGAGGAATTTTTGTTGATTTGTTTTCCATTCAGGTTCTTGATATTCCGCTGACAGTGAAGATGAGAACCGGTGTCCATAACGACAATCCCGTCGCACATAAGATTGTCCGTCGTATCTACGACTGGGGAGCATCTGTTGTCACGGTAAATATCGCACTTTGTATTACTGTAGCTGAGGAATGTTTCACAAAGATTAAAATTGACTTTAAGTTGGACTTAACAATGGGCCGCCGTTCATGCCACTGTTTTCTCTCACCATTTACTGGCATTGGTCTCCCAAGGGACGTATTAATCATGGCCACAAATCTACCAAATTAACTCTTTTTGATAGTTCATTATTGAAGGAAAAATTTGTATCTAAAGATCATAATGATGAGAGAAAACAGTTGCATGAATGGTCTGCCATATTTAAGTCCAACTTAAAGTCAATTTTAGTCTTTGTAAAACACTCCTCAGGAATATATTACTACTGTTAAATGTGCTTTCAAGAAATAGTTGAGTTCTGGGCCCTGTTTCTTAAAACTTGTCATCAATAACAAGTAACAAGAACTGTTATAAAATACTGAAATCATGGCATTTGATTGGCTGAGATCAAATTTGTCATGGAAATTTAACATTTGTTATTGATTTGATTTGATTTGATTTATTTTCCACTCAAATATCCACAAATTAATAAACCATTCAGTAATACAATATATAATAGAACAAATTAATTATACAAGTAACGAAATACTGACAAGTATGTTCGTAATCAAATAAGTCTACAAAGTACATTTATGTTTGAGAATTAGACAACATATTTTAAATTGCTTGATTTAACTGAGAGGGGAAAAAAGGGAATCTCAGAAAAGCTAGGCTTGTTGAGCGAGATTCCCAGTATAAATTAAATAATGGACCATCAACAACGTGCATCAAATTCTGCACATGTCTGCTCCCAGAGAGACCAGAGACGCGCGAACCCACCCGCCCGCGCCAGATCCCCGGGTCTCCCCCGCCAAGGCCCATTTAGCATACAACAGTCTGCCGTTGCCAGGTCGAGCAAGCTCAAGGTTTGTCCGACCTAGCAACGAGCAACATCAAACAAACAAACAAGTTTCATGAAACAGGGTCCTGGTCATGCAATTACTCTGTAATTACTCTGAAAGAAGCTGTCCAGGAGCTTTTTGGAACAATCGATTATGTAGTTCATTACTAATGGTTTTCACTATGATGTTTTATACTCATCAATATCATTGAAATTGACTTGATCTTGCTGAGAAATTACATGCAATACACACAGAAATGTGTAAATGGGACTACACATACACGTGACATGAAAAATTAAGATTTGTTTATGTTTCTTCCCCCTTCTAGGTTCATGGTCGTACCAGGGAGCAGCGGTATTCCAAGCTAGCTGATTGGGATTATCTGAAAGACTGTGTTCAGGCTGCTGATCCGCATCCATTCATTGGTGAGTCCCAAGGTCAAAGGTCAACTATGGTGCAGTCTTATGGGGCGTTGCAAGAAAGTTGCGATTGATTGCAATTTGCAAAATTTGCAACTGATATTCGATTGCAACTCAATTTTCTTGCAACGCCCCACTAGTCTCCTAAATTTCCTAGGATTTTGTTAGGATTAAAGTTTTTAACAATTAAATTTAGTTAACAAGATCTAGCTTTTATTTCCCCCCCCCTTTCTCTCTCTCTCTCTCTCTCTTACTAATGGGGAGTTGCAAATTTGCAATTAATTACAAGACTTATGCTTGATTTTTGAGATTTGCAACTTTCTTGAAATGCCCCATTAGAGTACCTAGAGTAAAATTGCATAATGAGATGTTCTTATAATGTTATGTACATGTAGTAATACTGTGTTGTAAGGTTTGTAACCATGTAGAGATACACAAAAACCTGTCTTTAACCTAAAGCTTGCACGCACTTGATAAAAACCTACTTCTAAATCAATTTTAGGTCCTAACATGGAAAAAACAGCATGAGGAATGGACATTTCTGCATTGGAAGTGTGTCGCGTGTGGTTGTAAGTTTCGCTTTATTGAATTCCTTTTTTTGTTGCTTGAAATCCCTTCTTTTTTTTTTTGCCTTTATGATTCCTTTTTTTGGTCGCACAAGGTTGGCAGCTCTGGTTTATAATTAATTATGTTGTATATAATGAAAAACATTTTTGAATGATGTCATATATCTTTGTCTACATAGGAAATGGAGACATTCTTTCCTATGAAGATTCAAACTTCTTCCGTGAGCAGAGTGGAGCCACCGGTCAGATGATTGCCCGGGGCGCTCTCATCAAACCTTGGATCTTCACTGAAATCAAAGAACAAAGGTACCATACTAGCATTTCTAATGAACATTTTTGCTGTTCTATCAAGTCTTTATACCTTAAAGGCATCATTTAACAATGTTAAATCTGAGATGCACGGTCCTACGTGTTATCAGTGTCTGTGATATGGTGTAATATTAAAGACCTCAAATAATTGCGCTTGAAAATGGTCATGAAGTGCATCAAAAAAGTAAAAATCTCTGAGTGACCGGTTGTACCATACTCATTTTCCCCAGTAGACTGTAGTGTTATAAAAACCATTATGGAAACAAAAATTGTAATTTCCAATCAGAGATATCTTGATAATCAGACAGGCGATCACTTTGTAAGAGTCATGGGATTCCTGACTGACTTAAAGATTTATAATTATGATCACAGCATGAGCTAAATCCAGGATTTCTTTTAAGAATCTGAGACAAAGATACCCAATCCCTTTTAAAGCAACAACAAAAATAAGCTCAGTCTAGCTGAAAGGAAATTTAACAAAGACTATGAGGCGTGATAGCTCAGCGGTGGTCTCGTGGTCTCGTAACGGGGAGGTCCTAGGTTCAAAATTTAATCAGTGCGCTAGAGCCCTTTGGTAAGGCATTAATCCTCATTACCAAGTCCTTGGGAGAGGACTTGGAGCCGTCAGTCTCCTGGTTGCTTACTTACAAGTAATCACATGCTTTCTTAGCAGTCAGTTAAAAAGAAACCATCAACCAACGCACAAAAGTAGGAACCCATGTTATAACATAGGCGTCTAACGCTTGGTTAACATAAAAGATAATGTTCAAATACTGATCTTCCTATTGCATAATAACGGAAACTGTCCCGATGATCTTGGAAATGTTCGGAAATGTAGTTCATAGGAACAAATATGGTGTCATATGGTTTTAGATTCATAAAAAGGATAACAGAATCAATCTTGCTTGAAATTGGCAAATAAGTCACATTCACGTGTGCTTATAGATTTTAATGATATCTCATTAACATTCTCTTAATTTATTTCTACTTTTTTCCTTCTCTCTCTCATTACCGTATGCCTCTATAACAGACATTGGGACATCTCTTCTAGTGAGCGTTTTGATATTCTCCAGGATTACATCAACCTAGGACTGTTGCATTGGGGCTCAGACAGTGAGGTATGACTCTTCATAATAAAAATAGAGGTGTCGTGGTCAAGTGGATCGTGGTCAAGTGGATACGTCAACGGACTGTTGATCACAAGGTCCGCGGTTCGAGTCCCGCCACGGCACTAACGTCCTTTGGCAAGACATTGATCTACATTTGCCACACTCAACCCATGGATGTAAATGGGAACCTGGCAGGAATTAATTCTTTGAAATGCTAGAGCACTGTATTGGCCGCCTTGCTAAAGCCAGGGTAATAATCGGGGGCAGCGCCAGGAGTGTCACAACGTGACGGACATGTGCACTATATAAGAAGCCACTATTATTATTATTATTACTATTATAATCTGCTAGATTTACATAGAGTTTAATTTTGCCTCTAAGCTCTTTACAGAAATTATTATTCCCCCGGTTATGGGATTCATTCACGCACACAGTGTGCACAGTTTCTTGGAGTTAGTTCTACCATTAGGCCTTCGTCATCCTACCAGGTCCCCATTTCTCTCCGGGGAATGGAGTGGCTAATGTAGATTAATGATATGTAATGGTTTTCTTGATGCAGGGAGTACGGAAGACGAGAAGATTCCTTCTTGAGTGGCTGTCTTTCCTCCATCGTTACATCCCGGTTGGACTCCTGGAGACGCTGCCTCAGAAGATCAACGAAAGGCCTCCGTACTATGTGGGTCGGGACGATCTGGAGACACTGATGGCTAGTGCCAATTGTGCTGACTGGGTCAAAATCAGGTAAGATCACTAATTACATGTTAACAATAATAATGATATTCAGCTTTTATATAGCGCTTGATACATCTCAGACGTCTCTAAGCGCTTTACAGATATACTGTTATCCCGGTCATTGGATTCAGTGCTTGCCCACACACAATCTCCACTCCCTGGGGCTTGACTTGACGCTCAAAAACTGTTTGACCAACAATGACGGTCACATCCTACCAGGTACCCATTTTAACACCTGGGTGGAGAGTAGCAAATGTACATGTAGGTTAATATCTTGCCAAAGGATATGAGTGCTGTGTCGGGATTTGAACCCTCGACCCTCGCATCTCCAGTCAAGCGCCTTAAACCACTCATACACGACACTCCCTGTTAGTAAGCTTCCTCTTCTAAGAAAGGGTTGTCCTGTGGGAAGTTACCTGGTGATGTTTGTCCTTTAATGGTTGTCTTTTCTCAAGTACAAGGTAAATTTCCTTGAGAGACCCCAGCTCTTTGTGAGCCATGATAATCTGGAAAACCTGATGGCCAGTGCCAACTGTGCTGAAAAATGGGTCAAACTCCGGTAAGACGATATTTCCTAGGAATGATGATTGTCCTATAAAGGGATATTCTCTTGAGGGTGTTTGCACGAGAATGGTTCTTTCCTCAACTGGGACTCCCTTGCAAGACCTCCTCAATACTTTACAGGTCAGGGGGGTGTTTCACAAAGATCCCAAGTCGAACTAAACTCTAAGTTGGACTTAAATATTATGGAGAGCCATTTGTAGCCTCAAAATAAAATATATTCAAAAGTGAAAATTCAAGTATTTTAGACTTTTTATAAATTCCACATGAAGAACATGAAATCTCCTTGATAATATGAATAATTTGAAACATTTTTTGCCTTTTAAAATAAAACTTTTACAAAATATTTTCATAGATGCTAACGGCTTTCCATAATCTTTAAGTCCAACTTAGAGTTAAGTTAGACCTAGAATCTTTGTGAAACACCCCCAGGACAATCTGGAGATCCTGATAGCCATTACCAACTGGGTTAAAATCAGCTGACATGTAACTCAGGGTTATCGGGGTTATGTGCCTATCCAATGTACATGTAGCTTGGCAGGCAAATGTTGTAGGAAAAGCTTAATCATTAAAAACATTTGTGTCATGCCAGTCCCTAATATATAAGTGACATGCTTTGTTACATGTGATGTATGTCCAAGAAACATTTTTCATGATAACTTGAGAAATGTTAACAGTTTGTGAAGAAAAGAAATGTAAAATACTTCAACAGAGTGCTTGTAAAGTACTTCAACAGAGTGATTGTAGGAGCTTTACATGCCAAACGTCTTTCTCTACTGCTACGTTTTTTATGCCTCCGCCACCGAAGGTGGTGCCGGAGGCATCATGTTTTCGGGTTGTACGTCCGTACGTCCGTACGTCCGTCCCGTTTGACCGTTATCACAATATCTCAAGAACCATTTAAGATTTAAACTTAAGACTCGGGAATAGTATTTATCACCATAGGAAGACGATCTGATTAGATTTTGGAGTATGTAGGTCAAAGGTCACAGGTCACAGAGGTCAACTTATGAAATTCCTTGTGTTGAGTTTGTTAGCGCGATATCTCAAGAACCATTTGAGATTTAAACTTCAAACTTAAGGATAGTATGTATCACCATAGGAAGACGATCTGATTAGATTTTGGAGCACGTATGTCAAAGGTCAAGGGTCACAGAGGTCAACTTATGAAATTCCATACATTGAGATTGTTATCATGATATCTCAAGAACCACTGGAGATTTAAACTTCAAACTTAGTAATAGTGTGTATCACTATAGGAAAACAATCTGAGTACATTTTGGAGCACGTAGGTCAAAGGTCAAGGGTCATAGAGGTCAACTTATGAAATTCCATACATTGAGATTGTTATCATGATATCTCAAGAACCACTGGAGATGTAAAAACTTCAAACTTAAGGATAGTATGTATCACCATAGGAAGACGATCTGATTAGATTTTGGAGCACGTAGGTCAAAGGTCAAGGGTCACAGAGGTCAACTTATGAAATTCCATACATTGAGATTGTTATCATAATATCTCAAGAACCACTGGAGATTTAAACTTCAAACTTAATGATAGTGTGTATCACCATAGGAAGACAATCTGATAAGATTTTGGAGCACGTAGGTCAAAGGTCAAGGGTCACAGAGGTCAACTTATGAAATTCCATACATTGAGATCGTTATCGCGATATCTCAAGAAGCACTGGAGAATTTTCACTTCAAACTTAATGATAGTATGTATCACCATATCATAATATCTCAAGAACCACTGGAGATTTAAACTTCAAACTTAATGATAGTGTGTATCACCATAGGAAGACAATCTGATTAGATTTTGGAGCACGTAGGTCAAAGGTCAAGGGTCACAGAGGTCAACTTATGAAATTCCATACATTGAGATTGTTATCATGATATCTCAAGAACCAGTGGAGATTTAAACTCCAAACTTGTTTAAATTGCTCTATGGCGGAGGCATCATTTTCGACTGCGCGCAGTCAAAATTCCATCTAGTTTTCATCTACAACACTTATTTTTCCAGGAACCTATAATATACCAGCACTGCTTTTTGATAGGTTCCTCACATTCTACTTTATCTATTGTATGAATTGAGAATCATTGAGACATGCTCATTTATACTACATGTATTGTATAATTTCTATTTTGTAAGTACATCTATATTTTTTGTAAAATGTGGAACAATAAAAACTTGAAACTTGAAACATATATTAGTAGTACTGATCTTGGCTTTTTAAAGCCTACCGGTAATTGTAAATGTTCTCATGTATAATTTGTATTATTATTTAGTTCAGTAAGGATGTAATCTGCTTTTTGTTTCAGTGAAATGTTTCTTGGCCCTGTACCCGATGACTTCCAATTCCTAGCGAAGCACAAAGCCAGCTCCTACAAGTGAAACTGACACGGCTCAGCAACACCAATAGCCAAGCCATACAACTAGCAGTGGCACGATCAACCACAAATTCTAGCGGCTTATTGCATACCTGCCAACCCTTCCGAAAAATCTGGAATATTTAGATTTCTGGATTTTTAGGACCTGAAAATTCAGAATATTCCAATTTTTTCAAAAGTTCAAATTTTTCTTTTTTCTTTTCCTTTTTTTTCTTTTTTTTTTTTCCTTTTTATTTTTGAAGGCATACCGTGCTGAAAATTCCTAATTCTTATTATCAAATGTTGGCAGGTATATTATTGGCATTCTTGAGAAGACAGGTTACATACATTCTATGCTGTAGGAGTTATGTTTAGTACTTGTTTCTACAGAGGATTTTAGAGCAATAATGTTTTTCCTACCTAACAACAACTATTGTAAATGAAGACTTATGCATTCAATTTGATTACATCACGAAACTGGCCTATTCATAATGGCCAATATTTGTACCTCTGATTTCATTTTTATTATGGCTAATTGACTTTGGGCTTAGATCTTCACTTACTTTTGAATATTATTTAATGTCAAAATAGCTCTAAGGATGTGTATGTTGATGAAAATGCAATAAAAACACTTTTATATTTATTTTAGTCATGATAAGCATATGAAAAAATACAAAATGTTTCTTATTGTACAAAAATCTACTACTACTGTAACCTTCTATGATTAATCATTTCTGTTTTCTGTGGCTATATTATTAGCTTATGGTCCAAGCCGCTGCTTTGGTGACACACATTTTTAATCATCAGGTTATGTGTGAATGCGGCCTTATGCAATTAAAGTTTTCTTTTGCCCATATGACTCTTTTTATTTATCCGTTTTATTTCTTAATGTATTTTAGAAGCATAGCTAGCTCATGTGCAGTCATACTTAAAGTACTAAAGACCTCAATGGATCTGCCTTGGTCATATTTTTTAAATATCAACTTAATGATGTGCTATGATAACTTTTTTGAGACATTATTTTGATCATTATTATACATGTATGTAATAAAGTTTGATTTAGATAATTATGATGAACACCATAACTAAGTGATTTGTGTATTTTATTTAAAGGTAATTAAGGTCAGTGCATACCCTAAAAGAGGCGGGTGGGTAGCATGAAATTAAGAAAGATGGAGAGGGGGGGGGGGTAGAGAACAAGATAACAGGGAGAGAGGGAAAGAGAGTTCAAGGTATTGGGCAGAGGTAGAGAGAATGGGGGAGAGAACAAGAAAAAGGGAGAGAGAGAGAGAGAGAGAAGGGGAGGAAACAGATATAGAGGAGAGAGAGAAGGGGAGGAAACAGATATAGAGGAGAGAGAGAAGGGGAGGAAACAGATATAGAGGAGAGAGAGAAGGGGAGGAAACAGATATAGAGGAGAGAGAGAAGGGGAGGAAACAGATATAGAGGAGAGAGAGAAGGGGAGGAAACAGATATAGAGGAGAGAGAGAGAAGCGGAGGAAACAGATATAGAGGAGAGAGAGAAGGGGAGGAAACAAGATATAGAGGAGAGAGAGAAGGGGAGGAAACAGATATAGAGGAGAGAGAGAAGGGGAGGAAACAGATATAGAGGAGAGAGAGAAGGGGAGGAAACAGATATAGAGGAGAGAGAGAAGGGGAGGAAACAGATATAGAGGAGAGAGAGAGAAGGGGAGGAAACAGATATAGAGGAGAGAGAGAGAAGGGGAGGAAACAGATATAGAGGAGAGAGAGAAGGGGAGGAAACAGATATAGAGGAGAGAGAGAAGGGGAGGAAACAGATATAGAGGAGAGAGAGAAGGGGAGGAAACAGATATAGAGGAGAGAGAGAGAAGCGGAGGAAACAGATATAGAGGAGAGAGAGAAGGGGAGGAAACAAGATATAGAGGAGAGAGAGAAGGGGAGGAAACAGATATAGAGGAGAGAGAGAAGGGGAGGAAACAGATATAGAGGAGAGAGAGAAGGGGAGGAAACAGATATAGAGGAGAGAGAGAAGGGGAGGAAACAGATATAGAGGAGAGAGAGAAGGGGAGGAAACAGATATAGAGGAGAGAGAGAGAAGGGGAGGAAACAGATATAGAGGAGAGAGAGAAGGGGAGGAAACAAGATATAGAGGAGAGAGAGAAGGGGAGGAAACAGATATAGAGGAGAGAGAGAAGGGGAGGAAACAAGATATAGAGGAGAGAGAGAAGGGGAGGAAACAAGATATAGAGGAGAGAGAGAGAAGGGGAGGAAACAAGATATAGAGGAGAGAGAGAAGGGCAGGAAACAGATATAGAGGAGAGAGAGAAGGGCAGGAAACAGATATAGAGGAGAGAGAGAGAGAAGGGGAGGAAACGAGATATAGAGGAGAGAGAGAGAGAAGGGGAGGAAACAAGATATAGAGGAGAGAGAGAAGGGGAGGAAACAGATATAGAGGAGAGAGAGAAGGGGAGGAAACAGGATATAGAGGAGAGAGAGAAGGGGAGGAAACAGATATAGAGGAGAGAGAGAAGGGGAGGAAACAGATATAGAGGAGAGAGAGAAGGGGAGGAAACAAGATATAGAGGAGAGAGAGAAGGGGAGGAAACAAGATATAGAGGAGAGAGAGAAGGGGAGGAAACAAGATATAGAGGAGAGAGAGAAGGGGAGGAAACAAGATATAGAGGAGAGAGAGAAGGGGAGGAAACAAGATATAGAGGAGAGAGAGAAGGGGAGGAAACAAGATATAGAGGAGAGAGAGAGAAGGGGAGGAAACAAGATATAGAGGAAATAGAGAAGGGGAGGAAACAGATATAGAGGAGAGAGAGAAGGGGAGGAAACAAGATATAGAGGAGAGAGAGAAGGGGAGGAAACAATATATAGAGGAGAGAGAGAAGGGGAGGAAACAGATATAGAGGAGAGAGAGAAGGGGAGGAAACAAGATATAGAGGAGAGAGAAGGGGAGGAAACAGATATAGAGGAGAGAGAGAAGGGGAGGAAACAGATATAGAGGAGAGAGAGAAGGGGAGGAAACAAGATATAGAGGAGAGAGAGAGAAGGGGAGGAAACAAGATATAGAGGAGAGAGAGAAGGGGAGGAAACAGATATAGAGGAGAGAGAGAAGGGGTGGAAACAAGATATAGAGGAGAGAGAGAAGGGGAGGAAACAAGATATAGAGGAGAGAGAGAGAGAAGGGGAGGAAACAAGATATAGAGGAGAGAGAGAAGGGGAGGAAACAGATATAGAGGAGAGAGAGAAGGGGTGGAAACAAGATATAGAGGAGAGAGAGAAGGGGAGGAAACAAGATATAGAGGAGAGAGAGAGAGAGAGAAGGGGAGGAAACAAGATATAGAGGAGAGAGAAGGGGAGGAAACAGATATAGAGGAGAGAGAGAAGGGGAGGAAACAGATATAGAGGAGAGAGAGAAGGGGAGGAAACAAGATATAGAGGAGAGAGAGAGAAGGGGAGGAAACAAGATATAGAGGAGAGAGAGAAGGGGAGGAAACAGATATAGAGGAGAGAGAGAAGGGGTGGAAACAAGATATAGAGGAGAGAGAGAAGGGGAGGAAACAAGATATAGAGGAGAGAGAGAGAGAAGGGGAGGAAACAAGATATAGTGGAGAGAGAGAGAAGGGGAGGAAACAAGATATAGAGGAAATAGAGAAGGGGAGGAAACAGATATAGAGGAGAGAGAGAAGGGGAGGAAACAAGATATAGAGGAGAGAGAGAAGGGGAGGAAACAATATATAGAGGAGAGAGAGAAGGGGAGGAAACAGATATAGAGGAGAGAGAGAAGGGGAGGAAACAAGATATAGAGGAGAGAGAAGGGGAGGAAACAGATATAGAGGAGAGAGAGAAGGTGAGGAAACAGATATAGAGGAGAGAGAGAAGGGGAGGAAACAAGATATAGAGGAGAGAGAGAAGGGGAGGAAACAAGATATAGAGGAGAGAGAGAAGGGGAGGAAACAAGATATAGAGGAGAGAGAGAAGGGGAGGAAACAAGATATAGAGGAGAGAGAGAAGGGGAGGAAACAGATATAGAGGAGAGAGAGAAGGGGAGGAAACAAGATATAAAGGAGAGAGAGAAGGGGAGGAAACAAGATATAGAGGAGAAAGAGAAGGGGAGGAAACAAGATATAGAGGAGAGAGAGAGAAGGGGAGGAAACAAGATATAGAGGAGAGAGAGAGAGAAGGGGAGGAAACAAGATATAGAGGAGAGAGAGAAGGGGAGGAAACAGATATAGAGGAGAAAGAGAAGGGGAGGAAACAAGATATAGAGGAGAGAGAAGGGGAGGAAACAGATATAGAGGAGAGAGAGAAGGGGAGGAAACAGATATAGAGGAGAGAGAGAGAAGGGGAGGAAACAGATATAGAGGAGAGAGAGAGAAGGGGAGGAAACAGATATAGAGGAGAGAGAGAGAAGGGGAGGAAACAAGATATAGAGGAGAGAGAGAGAAGGGGAGGAAACAAGATATAGAGGAGAGAGAGAAGGGGAGGAAACAGATATAGAGGAGAAAGAGAAGGGGAGGAAACAAGATATAGAGGAGAGAGAAGGGGAGGAAACAGATATAGAGGAGAGAGAGAAGGGGTGGAAACAATATATAGAGGAGAGTACAAATGTAAGGGGGAGGGAGCGGGACATATAGAGGGAGAGAAAGAGTATTTCTAGAAAAGGTGTACTGTAATACTGGTATATTGGAATAAAAATCAAAAGAGAGAAGTATACGTTATAACATGTTGAAGGTTTTTTTGTGACACACGAAATAACGAGTCTGTCGGAAGCTAGGGCCCGTTCCTAGAAACCAACGACATGACAGTCATAACTTTATCCGCCACTGACTACGGAGATGTCTCTGATCTTCCTAAAATGTTTCACGAAGGGCTTACTAGGCAACTAGCTAGTATTGTGAAATCGATACTATGGGCGAGTTAAAAATAGCCATAGCCTTAGTCGCAAAACCACCGAATTATTAAAAAAAGTAATATTAGGAAAAATGCAATTATTTAAATGAATTAGCAATAAAATACCAGGAAACAAGAGATGCAATATCCTTCCAAATTTGTGTA